AGTCTAAGAACATTTAAAAATCTTAGAACATACAAGTACAATAAAGCCTTAGAAGGCACAAGCTTAAAAAAAAAAGATAAAAATCTTAAAAGATTTAAGTTTCAAAAGTACACACTAAAAATTTTAGCAAACAAAAAGCCTCAGAAGACAAAGGTATATTTAAAAATCTCAAAAGATAAAAGTCTCAGAAAGGATCGGAATCACAAATACTCTCACTGAAGAGGTTGTTGACTTCAATTTTGGTCAACATCTTCCTCTTATAGACCCTATTGTCTAGGCTTAGGAACCCTTCCTAGTACCTCCTAGGTGGTTGGGTTGGTCCTAACCGGGTTAGGTCTGGCTAACCTAGTCTAATTGACCTAAGACTGTCTGTGTCGACCTTGAGTTGGCTTGGGTAAGCTTTTTTGGCTTAGACGGGCTTGTGTTTGGTTCTAATTGAAATTAAAATTAAAATCAATCTAAACTTAAATCTGATTTAACTTAACTCATAATCAAACTTAAATTTAAATGAAGTTTAACTTACGTTTAACTTATTATAAAGTGGACCCAGATTAATATTAAAATAAACCTAAATATAAATTTTAAAAGTAAATATAATTCATCTTTAAAATTAACTAAAAAATTACAACTTAAACTTAAACTTAAACCAAAATCAATAATCTAAATTGAATCCAAGTATATATTTAAATTTAAAATAAACTAAAACCTAATCTAAGCAAAAATCTAAATTAAATAAAATACAAAAAAAAATTAAATATTAAAGTAAAATTTAAAGTGAAGTTTGAATAAAGCTTCAAATTTAATACAAATATTAACACTAAAATTAAAAATGAACTAAAATAAATCTAAAATGAAAATATTAATTAAAATCAAATTAAACAAAGCATAAAACTAAGAAAGATTTACATATGTACCACCTTTCTTAAGCATAAATATTTAAATGCATATGAATTGGGTGGTATGTATTTACATTTTCCTAAAATTAAATCTAATAAAAATATAAACATTTAAAAAAACTAAAAATAAACTAAATTAAATTTAAAACTAAAACATTAATTAAAATTAAATTAAATTAAAATATAAAAATTTAATTTAATTAAAACAAACCAAAACTAAATTTAAGACAAAATTATACCTAGATTAAACTAATAAAATGAAAGAGAAAAGAGCTCAAATTTAAGCCCTAAATCTCTCACATTCTAGCCCTAGATCATTTGATTAAGGAGAGGAGGGGGACTTGAGCCTTCAATTTCCCTCCGGTCTAAACCCAAGCTTTTTTTCCCTTTAAATCTTGGCCATTGATTTTAAATCAAAGAGAGCGATTAAAAGCCTAAGAAAGCTACGGCCTCTCTATTCGCTCAAGCCGAAAGAATTGCACAACCACACACTCTTCCTTCTCGTGAATTGCACGAACCCCCTCCTTAATTCACGAAACCAAGCAGGAAGCCTGCAGCTTGTTTGCCTGAAGCTGAAGGAACTGAAGCCCCTTCCTCCCTCATTTCTCTCGTTTGCAGGGCATGACGAGCCTTCCATAGCAGTCGAAGCCTCCCAAGTGATTTTTTAGCTTCCCCATTCTCTCCCTTGTGCGAAAGACGAAAGAGAAATTGCTCCACTTTTTCTTCGTGATTTGCTCGAGCACTCAAGTTCAAAAAAATCAAAAGCCTTCTTCTTATCTTTGTTCTAGCTAAAGCGCCCTTGACTCTTTGATTCTCAAGATTAGCAAGTTGTCGCCCTATTGTAAAAGCATATCCTCTTTTGAAATAAATTTTTGTGCTATTTATTTGTTTGTTTTGTAGAAGTATGTAAATATTAGATACATCTAAATCAGGATGAATGCATGGATGAAATGCTTGTACGCAATGTTTGACCATGTTTCATACAAGCATTTCATCTATACCCTTTTTTATGATTTAAAAATATCAAAGATTTACATACTTCTAAGAAAAAACAAACTAATACATAAATTTATTTCAAAAGACAATATATTTTTGCTATGGGGCAATGACTTGCTAATCCTGAGAATCTAAGAGTCGAGGGAGGTTTGTTTAGAGCTTCTAAAAGAAGAAGGCTTCTGATTTTTTTGAAAAGTAGTGCTCGAGCAAATCACAAAGAGAAGAGGAGAAAGTCCTCTTTCAACTTTGCACGAGGAAAAGAATGGGGAGAGCCAAAAACTTCACATCGGACTTAGGGTTTTCAGTTCATTGTTGTCCTTGGCGTGATGCGAATGGGGCTTCGGCCTCTTTGGGAGACTATCCATGCCTCTTGCATTCGAACGAGAGAAGTGAGGAGAGGAAGGGGCTTCAGTTTCATGCAAACAAGGGGAGGTCTATTGCTTGGTTTCATGAATGGAGAAGGAGAGGGTTAATGCAATTTGCAAAAATAACGGGGTTGTGCTATACTTCTGGCTGGAGTGAATAAAGAGACTGAAATTAGAGTTAGGGCTAAATAATGAGGAGTTTTTAGGCTTTTAATCCCTCCAATGGATTTAAAATCAATGGGCGAGATTCAAACGGAATAAGGGTTTGGGTTTAGGCTAGAGGGACATTGGTGGCTTAAATTCCCCTCATCTCCTAGATCAAAAGATCAAAAGCGAGAATGTGACAAGGGGTTTAGGGCATGAACTTGGGTTCTTTTCTCTTTCATTTTTAAATTTTAATTTATGTTTAATTTTGTGTTTAATTTAATTTAGGTTTGTCTTATTTATCTTAATTAAATTGAATTTTATATTTTTATTTAATTTATTTTTATTATTGTTCTACTTTTAAAATTAGTTTGTTTATATTTAATTCTGGTTTTAATGTTTATATTAAATTAGATTTAATTTTAGAAGTATTTACATACATACCACCCAATTCAGATATTTATGTCTAAAGATGTGTGGTATATACATAATTCTTTCTTAGTTTCATGCTTTGTTTAGTTTGATTTAAATAATATTTTTGTTTTAGATTTATTTTAGTTAGTGTTCAATTTTAATTTTAATATTTGTATTAAGTTTGGAGCTTAATTGAAACATTAATTAAATTTTAGTTTAATTTCAATCATTTTGATTAGTATTATATTTTAAACTAGATTTATGATTAGATTAGGTTTTTGTTGATTTAAATTTAGTTTCATTTAAGTTTTGATTTAATCCTGTTCGAGTTGATTTTAATTTCTTTTCAATTTAAATATATGTTTGAATTCAATTTAGATTATTGACTTGGATTTAAGTTGTAAATTTTAAGTTAACTTTAAGATGAAATAAATTTAATTTAAAATTTATATTCAAGTTTGTTTTAGTATTATTCTGGTTCTACTTTATATTATGTTCAACTTAATTCAAATTTCGGTTTGAATCTGGGTTTACTTAATTAGATTTAAGCTTGAGTTAATTTTAATTTTAATTTTGATTTGGACCACACTCGAGCCTGTCTAAGCCAACCAAAGCATACCCATGCTAACCCAGGCCCAACCCTGTCAAACCTGAATCAACCAGGCCAAGCTAGGGTTAGCCGGACCTAACCCAAGTCAACTTGACCTGGTCAAGACTAAGCCAACCACCTAAGGTACTAGGAATAGATCCTAGGCCTAGATAAGAGGGTGGTTAGGAAGATGAAGTTGACCAAAAATGAGATCAATAGAGACAATATGTTATAATTGCAATACACTTGATATCTAACAAGAATTATATCTTAAAGACATATAATGACTTACTCTTAAAAATTCAAACACATGTGCATGAAGATTAATAGTTTATTAATTATCATGATTATATTTGACACATGGATATTGAATTTCAACCAAGCTAACATACATTCATGGGATATGAATACAGCAAGTTTTATTTCATAGTATATACAGATCTAATATATCCACATGAGATTATCCTGCTCGACATCAAAATCACTAGTAATTTTTTTAAGTTTTTCTATAGCCTTCAAACACCACCTCAGCGTTCATTGGATGGTCTCATCCTCCTTGATGTTTATAGAAAGAATAAAATATATGGCTAGGTCGCAACTCATTTCAATGGCATAAAAGCCATCACCAATGCTCGACACTATCAAAATCAGTATTCAACATGCATATCTTGTAATAAGCGGCCTCTTCTTTTGTAGAAATCAATGACTTCACTAATATTGGAGTTCAATGTCCACATCAAGTTGAAATAAAATATGGTTTATTTAACAAGGATAGTCAACCTCTATTTTAAAGAACAACTAGAGCCTCGTCGTAAGAATTATGGATCTTAATCGGCGTCAGAACTAGTCCATCTATGATGAAAATCCCAGGCTTTTGGTAGAGACACTGAAATCAGCAAGAGGAAACTATATTTTGCCTATGCATGACAATATTTAACCTCATTTAAGAGGAAAAAATTAAAGCCTACAAGAAAATATGGAGAATGTCAGGTTTCCCCTCATCCAAGAGTATTTATATATAAAATGAAGGCATAACCACCGTTGATTGAAAATATCACATCATTAATCTCAGCTGACATTAAAATTTTATCAGCTCATAATCTTTGGTTGGAAATGTCAACTCTAGAATATCAGATGAAATATTATCACTCGTGCAGCCAAGATGGTAGGTGACTCATCAAAAAAGAAAAAAAATCTAATGACTCAGCCATCTACACAGAAAAGTTTCCTGATATAGCTAGTATGTGGGCAACTTGTTTCCTCCTAAACTTTCCTGCCATCACATTCCAACAGTTAATTCTAGTGCCAGATGTGTTCATTCTAAACTAATTATCTACAAAGATGATCTGATTATTCAAGTGATGCATACGAACATTTGCAGAGCTTTTCTGTACATATTTGTATGGATCACACAATTAATAAAAATGACTAACTCAAGGGGCAATACTTAACTTAATGTTACCTAATGGTTGTGTTTCATAGAATAAGATACAAAGAAAATGAAAGCATTTGAGATTACAAAAAGAAAATGGAAGAAATATGCACATATAAAACACCCGTTTAGTGAGATAGATATACCAAAAAATGCATATTTACCTGCGTACATGCATCCATTCTTATCAACAGCTCGGTAAAATGGATGCGTCTTCTTTTCTTTAGCAGCAAGCTGCAGATCACCCCAAACACGATCTCTGTCTAATTTTGTTACTCTGCCTGATTTCACAACCTAAAATTGAGAAATTGTCACATCGCACTATATACAATATCAAGATTATCAAAATGCAAAGGAGAGCATACATTTTTGCTTCGTTAAAGTGTTTAATCATAAATATTTCAATAGCATTAAAACCATCAGATACAGCGCACGTGTCAAGAAAAACATTGCATTATAGAATTTCCTTTAAAAAGTATACGTATTATTCATCAATGAATGTTGCTTTGGATCCCAAAAAGATGCTTTTAATGGCTGCGCGGAACAGTATATATGTTAACTCGTATCAAATTCTTCGAGTTAATGAAAATGAAACAACTCCAGCCACTTTTCTCCACATAAGAAAACAACTTAATAGCCTGGTAACAATGTCAAGCGCTTAAAGAGAGATAAGTCGCAAAGGAAGTCATAAACAGAACGGCAAATAACTGAAAAACCAAAGTGGCTGGACTAGAAGTTGAAGATGCAAGAACACTAGCACACGAACTCAGAGACTTCTCTCAAGAAAATTCAATAAAAATTGTAATAACAGAAAATAAATAAAAAAAATTAAAATGATAATAATAAATCAAATAGGTACTAAGATAAAAACCCAATCGGTTACGACTTAAGAGTCGTATTACACCATTCGAACCACTGAACGAACGAGCGCTCGAAAGGGAGAAACAAGATATCTCGTGCGTGCCCTAGCCAAGAGAAAGAAGAAAGAAGGGGAAGAAGAGGAGTAGAGAGTATCCCTACCTATTACGATGCCAAACTCCAGCCAGGCGTCGAGCCGAGCGAAGGAGAAGAGGTCGCAATTTCAAGCACTACTACTGTGTGAAGGAGAGAGGGAGAAGAAGAATGAGGAGGAGAAGTCAAAGGAGGAGGAAGAAACCTTTGCACAGTGCTAGTGTGGAGAGATTGGATGAAGATATATGTGTGTGTGTGTTATTTAAAATTTAAGATTAGTTGTATGCAATATTAAGATTGAAACTAATGAATCAAGAAAATTGGGGGAAAGACGTGACGTGAATTTCATGCGAGGGAAAGGAAAGAGTTGCTGGCAACCAAACGGATTTTAAGGTATGTTAGGGTCTTAATTAAGTTATTTAATGAATTTGTGGGTATAAATGCAATGCCAAATTTAATTAGGACTTTAATACATAGATTTTGACTTTGAATGAGAGGATATTTGTGAAGCGAGCGGGAAAGGGAGGAGATCGAAGTGAAAGCTTATAAGGTATATGTTAAACCTTATGTTATTAATGCAATCAATGATGTAATTAGCTAAATTAATTAATGTTATTAAAATTTATTTAGATTAGGAATTTTGAACAATCAGATAAATCCTTGGGATTTGAAGAAGGCAAATAATCATAAAGTTAAAAGAGGTTAGTGTTTTAATAATTCTTTTATATTTAAAAAAGACTTTCTTTATGATATAATTATTATATTTATATGCACATATAATTGGCTTAGGTGCTAGGAAGTGAAGTGAAGGGTTAAACTTTTTCAGAAATCTTTTAATGGCAAAGGTGAGCGATTATTTTTTTTTATGCATTAAATTAATAAATATCTTATTAAATGATTAAAAACAAGTATTTCATTAATGTCAGGTATTTTGAAAATCTCATATGATATCACAATTTTAAGGAAATAATTGATATGTGAAAGTACATTTTAAATGATTTTAATTAATATGAAATGTTAAGTAAAAGATTAAGTCATACAGGATTACCAATATAGGGTACTAACAGATGATGCAATGTACCCGTACATCTTAAGAAAAATGCTAAAGGTGTATATTCAGGTACAATTTGAGGGTATGTTTGGACACAATTTTGAGGGTGTTTTCAGACATTTTTTAGGATATCTTCGGGTATAACGTTAATCATGTGATGATTATTAAAAAGGTTAAAATGAAAATCACTTAAAGTGAAACGGGATCAGATAAAATTAAAGTGCAATTTTAAGGTTTTATAAATAAATGAGATGGATTTTTTTTATCATTCATGCATAACACAAGCATCGTAATTTAATGCATATTAGAACATAATTACTCACTAAATCATATTTATGATTGAAATTAATGGTTTCTTTTAGGAAAATAAAAATTATAGATTCATTTCTGATATGAAAAACTTGGTTTACCAGAAGAGGACCACAGTAGCTAAGTATTTTTATGATGATAGTTTTTATTTATTGTTTCTTTCAAATATTGATATGTTGTTCAATACTGGTTTGAAATGTTGTCTTTGGATGTTATTTTTGGATGATTTAAATTTTATTGCGCTTTGTAAATTAGTGGCTCTTACATATATATATAGATTGGATGTTTCTGAAATTTTGTGAAAAGTTGTTAACACTTTCCGACTGCTCCCGACTTAATTAATTCTAAGCATCGGGTCAAGTCGTGAAAAGAATATCACTTTTAGAATACTGTTAGAAGTGTGGCAAGCGGTAACTATCTCTTACAAACATTACCTTGGAGAGCAAGTGGTATGATGGGCGAGGAATGCGTGCAAGTTCATTTGCACGATCAACTGCAACAAGCCCAAACTTGGGACCATATCCATCGGCCCACTCCCAATTATCTGATGTTGTCCAGAACAAATAACCAAGAACTGGTACCCCCTAAAAGTCAAAATGTATGCCAGGACATTAGTGCATGGAATAAGCTAACAATCACAATACAAGGTGAAGTCTTAAACCGTTATCATGGCAGCATAAACAGCTAATAAATGCTCCAGCAGGTATGGGCGTCTAATCAAGTCTGTTTCATCCGAAATTCCATTCTCAGTGATGATAAAAGGAATATTCATCTGCTTGTATCTCTCATGGTACATATGCAGCACTCTAAACAAACCATCGGGATAAACAGCTCGACCAGATTCACTATATTCCTCACTATCCACCAGCTTCAAGCTAGGCCCAGTAATAATTTCCTGATCATAAAAAACCAATCCGTTATGAGAGTTACTGCAATCTTTGGTAATTCTTGCAAAAAAAAAAAGAAAAAAAAAATTTAATGAGGGTATCCGTGGGACTATTGCATCTATCTAATTTCTCTTTCTTTATATATAATAATAATAATAATAACTAACCTGCCCATAATAGTTTATTCCTAGAAAATCCAGCTTATCACATATGGTATCTATTATAGGGAAAAGCGTTAATGAATTCGCCAGCATAACAGCAGCAACATCAAAGAGGCCATATGGACGAGTAAAGGAGACGTGGTGTGCAATCCCCACCATGGTCTTTCCACTATTCTTGCTGTCAGGACAGAAACATTTATATTAGCCATATCGCATGATAAATTTACCATAGTAAGAAAACACACACACGCACACATCAAAGCATGCATGCATGCATGCATATAATTTAAAGCACTGGCCTCTCTTCATGGATATAATCATAGGCCATTGAATACGCAACAGCCATATAGTGTAAGGCTTGACTAAATACACCAGAAGGTAAAGTAGAGGTCGCAACTTCAATCATATCAGGATTTCCTCCTGGCCAAGCACCCGCACAGTACGTTAACAGACAGTATACATGAGGTTCATTAAACGGTACCCAGTAATCCACCAGATCTGATACACGATCAACTATTAGCCTGCACTCAGAAAATTACAACTACAGTAAATAATAGGATGAAATTAATGCTTATAAACCGGTTAGTAAAATGAAAACACGAGTGGCAATTACAGTAAATTGTCAGATTAAAATGTAAAAGCAAAAAAGACATTTAAGGATAACATTACGACAAAGCAAAAAAGTACTCATTTAATTGGTGAAGTGATCCATGGTATGCTCTCATTTGCGCCTTCTCCCTTGAAGCCTAGTAAATATTGGAAAGTAGTGATTTTATTTATTCTTATTTATGCACCTCATAAGTAAGGTTTATTTATGAACCTCATAAGTAAGGTTTGCACGCTTCTAGCTACTTTAGCTTCAACACGCAATAAACTATCATCAGAACCAGAAAGCTGCTCAAAATCAGTGACTTCAACATACTCTACAATAATAATACAATTAGGAGCTATCTCCTATGGAAGATTTATAACAGTAGTTATAGTACAAAAAAGATTATGTTAATTTTCACAACTTATTTCAACAAGAAGAGGTTCTAAAAGCTCTAATTCCATAAGACCATCTAGATTTCATTCTAAATTTTGCATGCATGGCTGAACTAAGGAATTTAGAACTGAATCCACCATATGAGAAGAAAAATTTTGATTAGTCATATGCCCCCCTTGCTTCGGGTTGCAAAAATCAATAATAGATGGTTTCCTAAGTTTTGGATCATCTTTGAAGCATTCTAGTTAATTTGAATAGCAGTGCCCAAATTTTTTGTAAAAAATACAATACAAAGGAATACTTCAAAATATAACCTTCTGCCAAAAACCATAAAAAGAAAAATCAATCCAAACCTCCCTATCTAAAAGCCTAGTAATACCATTTAAACTAGAACCCTAACCACAGACGGCCTAGATATTTAGTAGTAGTAGCATCAAAGCCCAGAGAAAAAAGTATAGAATTGTTAGAAAAAGTGGAGAAAAAGTTGAGGAAAAGAAACCCAAACCACAGCGACATGAAATTTCATGGATAATTCAAAATAAGATCACTTTAACACATATCAAAAAAACCATTCAAATAATATCACCAAAAAAATATTGCTAGGAAAATGGTCTAGATTAATCTTCTTTAACAAATAATCTAATAATGAATCAAATAGCCCGATTGAACAATCTCCAACCAAATGCAACTTTGACATGAATGAACATAAAATCTCAAGAATAAGATGCCCCACCAAGAACTTGGCCATTATAGAGGAGCATGGGGTAGCTAATTCAAATACCTTGAAATTAATGTTTTCTTTCAGGAAAAGAAAAACAGTAGATTGATATGTTTGACTAAAAACACTTAGTTTATAGGAAGACTACAGCCGATATATATCATGTTGTGTTGTGATTGTAGTTTATTTTTATATTGTTTACTTCTGTATAGAGATACTATTGTGTTTGTATTAAGATATTTTACTTGCATACTATGTTGTGGTTTCTGGATGATTTAAATGTCCATTTAGTATACTTTGTGGATCTTAGTGACATTTTTACATATATTGGATGTCTGAAAATCTGTGAAAAATAAATTAAATGTTAATATCGTTTGATCATAGTTCATAACTTGATTAATTCTAAACTATCGGGTCGGCTCGAGACAAAAGTGCTATCAAAACGGATTAGGTTGGATCATGATTAAAAAGAGCTAATATGATGATTAAATTAATTCATAAGCAATATTAATAAAGCATTAAAGTATGTTTAATTTTAATCTTTCTTATGCTATTTTAGAAATATGAACAATCAAGGAGAAGAAATTAGAGATATGGTAGAAAATGATGCACCTCCACAAATTACTCTGAACATAAATATTTTTGTTGAGATGATGACTGCAGTAACTCAGATGATTAAAAACTCTCAGATTCAGACCAGTTAAAGTGAGGGAGGCTAGTGTACAAGTACTTAAAACTATTTCAGGATATGAGACCACCTCCCTTTTCTGGAGGAGAGAGTTCGGTGGCTCCTGGGAACTGGATGCTGAGATTGAAAAAGATTCTAAATTGGTTGTCTTATCCACCTGATAGCGAGTTACACTAGCCACATTTGCCTTAGAAGGAGAAGAAGAGAGATGATGACGAGAACAGTTATAAAAGAAATATGATGGTAGAGCCAGCCATATGATATAGTGGGATGAGTTTGTGAGCACTTTTAGAGATTGGTTTGTACTGTTGCCAGCTAGGAAACAGTTGCAGGACCAATTTATTCGATTGGTATAGGGTGATCACTCAATAATGCAGACGAAACATAATTTATTATGCTTTCAAGGTATGCGCTTTACTTGATTCTAAGTGTGAAGGATAAGTGTCACAGGTTTTTGTCTGGGCTAAACGATATGATTAGACATCTATTTATTGCTCTTAGGATTGAAGTAAATGGAGAGGCATCATTTATGTATGTTGTGCACATCAATGGAGATTACCTTGTAAAATCCATGAAATAACGAACAGTTTTCTCCTCTTTCCATCCTCCATATACTCCAGCCCAAGAAGGAAGAGAATGATGAAATAAAGTAAGCATCACCTTCATTCCATATGAACGCACTCTTTCAATGATCCATCTGTACCGCTCCAGTGCTGCAAAGTTTACCTAGAGTACAAATTAAATTTCAGAGCAATAAAAAGAAAAAAGGTTCCTCAAGAACAATACCTAGCCGTAACTTCATAACCTTTTTTCATTTGTTTTTTTTTTTTTTTTTTTATATAATTATTTATTAGTTTTTTTAATTTTTGGAAGGAGAGTGCCAAGCTCAACAAAACAAACAATTTTTGCAGTGATCCATCGGTAAAAAGATGCCACCGTAACCAATATAGCAGCTATAACAAATAACCCAATTGCTTAGTATAGAAAGCAACTGCCATCACAGCCATCCTCTCCTCAAAGAGAAGGATCGCATTCCCAATAGGAAATCAAATCTCTTTCTCCCTCTCCCCTTTCACACAGCATAACCCACCAAACCTCTTTACTTGATCTATCACATACATGAAAGGGCCATCAAGAAAAAAATGAAAACACTGAAAGAAGTCAGAAATTAGATTTAATCTCCTAAGACGTGAGTGTTCTATGGGTACATCCCTGCTGCAGGAGGTCGTTTGTAGAACACTTATGACATAAATATTTGAAATTAAAGTTAGAGTTACCGAACGAATGGTCAACTTACACTATCATTCAGCACATTTTGTGGTTCCTTTGGCATAACTCTTGCCCAATCAATTCCCATCCGAAAAACAGTAATGCCAGTATCCTTGGCCAGTCTTAACTCAGTATCAGGATCAGACCAAAATCTGAGCCGCCTCCGCCTGAAAATGAATCAAACTAGATGGTAGGAATAACTTCTTACGAGAAAAAATCAATGTAAGAAAATTTTACGCAATCATATCTGCAACCAGACAAACTATAGGCTTCAGACGTTGTGTAGAACACATTAGCTACAAAATAGAAATCTACTGATCTGTGAAAGCAAACCGAGAAATAAAGTCCAAGAAGAAGTGGGAATCAGGACTAAGACACGTCTTTCCTGTGAATCAAAGAAATAGCTATAGATTAAATTAAAATGGAATTTTTACTGCCAACACATCTGACATATACCATATTACCAATAACTTAAAGATGTTTCAGGGACTAGAAATGAGTTTTGTGTTTGTGTTGGAGTCATTGAAGCATTTGGCGGTAGTCATCAATCTCAATGTTGGTGGAGTAATTCGAGCATTTTGAAAAGCAATGCAAAACAAAATCATTAACAAACGAAGCCACGCATCAGATGTAGTAGGGTAGCAGAGTGGAAAGCTTGAGGGTTTACTAGTTTCAGGTGTTTAATCAGCGGGATATTAGAATTTATGAACAAACATATAAATCAATGAACTCAAACTAAGTGTATAAATCACAGTACTCAACCTGCCAAACTTTAGGAATCCTCTATATTTTAAATGAGACATGCCAAGGCTTCGACCTATATACTTCTAAGCTACTTATTTTATCAAAATTTCCAAAATTGGATGATGTTTAAAGCTCCAATTGAATATATGAAAAACTATCAGCCAAAGCTACAGTTCAACAGAAAGGAATGCAAATATGGAAAAATGAGCTCACGGATGAGGCACATTGTGCCAAGCAGCAACATTATGGGTACATTCAGTTCTTGAATCAGATTCTGCCTCATCCGAATACTTTTCAAATCCTCTAATCATAGCCTCCATGGCAATCTTAAGGGGCCTTTTTACCTTGCTCTTGGTAGATTCTTCAAAAATGTGACCATCTGAAGATGCTTGCTGAGAGCCACCATCAGCAGCTGCAGAAGCCAATACAGCATGAGTAGATTGCAGCATCTGTGTTTGCTCAGAGTCACCACAGGGCTGTTCCTCTGCAAACTGAAGCCATGCATCATCAAGCCTATCCTCAACATGAGCAGGGGCCGTGGCAAGTCCAAAAAAGAAACCATTTTCCACTGCACAATAGGGTTACAAACCGGAAAACAGAAAACTTTAGAATGAGAAGTCCATTTAAAAATCAATAATACAAATATCGAGTTTTATTGTTATAATTAATTAGTTTTAAATGAACAAAGACAAAAGCTCGGATGAATATTGATAAAGTGCATCCTTCAGGATGATTCTCGGGATACATAATTCAAGGGTTTCCTCAAGATGTCATGTTTAACGTACACACATACAAGTGCAAAGGCACCTAAAGAAAATAAACATACTAGTGGTAAGCAACACAGTATTAAACTATTTGAAAAGGATGATCAATGTACAGAAGCCATACCAATTAGAGGTCATCCACAAATGACTGATATTAGTACACGCCCGTAATACTCGCTCAATAGCACTCACCCTCAGTACTTGCATCACTAGCTACATAAAATGTAAGACTTCCCTTACAAAATTCTATGTTTAATGCAGCCAACCTTAAGCATCGAACTTCGCCAGTTCTTAAAAATAAGGGTCAAGTCTCAAGATGGGGCATAAAATTTTAAGGCATAAAATGCTCTCCTCCAACTTTCACTCCGAATTAGTGTACTTCCTTTCAAATAAAATTGACCTTCCTTGCAAGGGCTCAAGATAGATTTTTCGTAGCGATTTACTAAAGAGATCACAAAGATCCAATCTACTCATAATTTCCTAGAATAAACTATATGCCAAATTTTCTAAAAGAGATTTTTGGCTTAAAAGTGTGACTTTATTTAGGAATATTATAAGTGGAGATGGCAAATTTGTGGATTAGAATAAGATCAAACCGATTGCAAATTGTCCAAGACCTACTACTGTCACTGAGGTCAGGAGTTTTCTAGGTCTTACTGGTTATTTCAGGAGATTTCTAGAGTAATTTTCATAGAGTCCTGCGTCATTATCAAATTGGCTCAAGAAAGTAGTGAAGTTTCACTTGTCAGATCGTTTTGAGGAGACTTTTCACGAGATGAATAATTGTTTAATGTTTTCTTCAGTATTGGTTATTCCTTCAAGTTTATATGGGTTTCAAATTTTCAGTGATGCATCTTTAAAAAATTTGGGGTGTACTTATTCAAAAGGAAGAGTCATTACATCCGCATCATGACAATTAAATGATCATGAAAGAAGCTATCCAACACATGATTTATAGCTTGCAAAAGTTGAGTTTGCACTTAAGATATGAAAGCAATATCTGTATGGAGTTCGATGCAAGGTATTTACTGATTATTAGAGCTTGAAATAAAACTTTACAAAGAAAGAGTTGAACCAGGGGCAAAATAAGATGGTTGGAGTTTATTAAAGACAAAGATTTGGATATTCAGTACCATCCAAAAAAGGCAAAATGGCAAAATGTGGTGGAAAATGTGCCAAGTAGGAAATCATCAATTAATTTGAACTGTTTATTTAATAAGTATAAGCAGTTACTCAAAGATTTGGAGAAGCTAAAGTTATCTATAATTAGTTATAGTGATGATAGTATTGCTCAATTTAATCAGTTGACCGCAAGTCTACTTTAAAAGGCAAAATCAAGGATTCATTAACCAAAGATAGCAGTGTTCAAAAAATCCTGAAGTAGGTTAAGGTGGGCAGTTTGGAGAAGTATATGTTAGATCGAGATGGCTTGCTAAAATATAAAGAAAAGGTTTATGTTCCAGAAATGGATAATTTAAGATGGGAAGTTCTGGATGAGGCATATTTATCTAGTTACATTATTCACCAAGGGAGTAGTAAAATGTACAAGCATTTCAAGGAAACCTTTTGGGGACGGGATTGAAGAGGAGTGTGGTAAGATTTATGATTAAGTGTCCTACATGTCAGCTAGTTAAGGAAAAACATCAACGTCCTAGAGGTTAGTTGCAGCTTTATCGATTCTAAGGTGGAAATTGTAAGAGATTTTTATGGACTTTGTGATTGGGTTGCCTAAATCACGTTAAGTTCGGAATGTTATTTGGGTAATTGTTGACAGATTGACTGAATCTACTCATTTATTGCCCATTAGACAGAAAGATCCAGTTGGTAGATTAGTTGGATTATATGTAGATCAAATTATGAGATCACATGGAGTGTCAAAGTCTATTTTCTCCGATAAAGATGATAGATTTACTTTTAGATTATGGATGATGATTCAGGAAGATTTGGGCACCAAATTAACTTTCAGCACAGTTTTTCACTCTCAAACATATGGTCAGTCAGAAAGAACCATTCAAACTTTGGAGAATCTACTAAAGTTATTGTCATAGACTTTGGTGTAAGATGGAAATCAGATATATCCTTGGTAGAATCTGCTTACAATAACAGTTACCAAGCTAGCATTAGTATGACTCCATATGAAGCTTTGTATGTAAGAAAGTACACAACCCTAATATGTTGGGCTGAAACAGGTGAAAAAAAAACCATTGTAGCTAACTTGGTTGATGATGCCGAAAACGATTATATTGATCAGAGATAAATTGAGGGCAGGATAGGATAGGCAAAAGAATTATTATGATGTTAAGCATAGACCAATGGAGTTCGAAGTTAGAGAATTTACTTTTATGAAACTCAATCCATTAAAGGGTGTGCATATATGTAAGTCCATATGAGATTATTGAGAGGATTAGAAAATTGACTTACAAATTGACTTCACTAACTCATATGCAAGAAGTGCATAATGTTTTAACATTTCTTCACTTGGAAAGTATATTTTAGATGAATTTGTTAAGGTGATGGCAAACTCAATTATATTGAGAAGCTTAGAAGAATTTTGAAATATAAATATAATGTGAAGAAACTTCATAATAGAGAGATCCCATTTGTGAAAATTTTATGGAAGTATGAATCAGAAAAAACTGTTACTTGGGAAAAAGATTCTGATATGCAAGAAAGATAGCCACAACTTTTCATTTAGGTATGTTTGCTTTCATGATATTTTTCAAATTTCGATGATGAAATTTTGATAAGAATGAGATTGTAATAACTAAAATTAAACAAGTAATAATAATAATTAATTAATTAATAATCGAATTCGGAAAAATTGTCCGACATTTTCAAGTATTAGAAGTAGATTTCATTAGTGGTCTTCAGGGAACGAACGGAGAACGAGAGATAGAAAGTGAGAGAAAGAAGAGGAAGTAGAGATTGAACCCTACTATACGAAGGAGAAGAGGAAAGAGAAGGCTCATGTGTGCAGGTAGAGAGTCAAGCCTCACGTGTGACATCATTGTTGTGTCGAGCCCTAATCGAAGGGGTTTTTGTGTCCTTCACCTACCTGAGATTTGACGTGGAGCCCTAGCTGATCAGTCGAGGAAGAAGGAAGGAGGTCGAGCGGCTTGTGTTGTGCTAGTGTAGAGGCGGAAGAAGAAAAGAGACCTCGTGCATGCGAGTAGAGCAGTCGACCGCAATTAAAGGTAAGTTTGATAAAATGTTTAATGGAAAGCTTTAATTTGGTGTGTGTGTGTGTTAAGGGTCTATTTGAGGTAGCTGCAGCTTGTTCAGCTTCTCCCGATAAGCTGCTTATCCTGATAATCTGGCGACAAGCAGCTGATCCGGATAAGCTGTCTGTCTGTTTGGTTTATGTGTTTAGTGAAGAGCTGATTCTGGAAAAATGACCAATCTGTCTCTGTTCTAGATAAGCTGCGGCTGTTTGGTTTGTGCATTTTGTAAACAACTGATTTGCAGATTTTTTTAGTTAAATGAACAATCTGACACGTAAACTTAATATTATTCTAATTAATTCACTTCAGAACTCATTTGACACATACACGCCGCCAAAAATTTGATATTTATAAATTTACCAACCATTTTAACTCAATCATAAAGAGAAGATAAAAGTGAAGATTCAAGAACATGAAAATAACAAATATTCTCAAAACGTCACTGCTGCAAAAACGCCCTCCCAAACGCACCCTAAATCAGGGTCAAAGCAATGAAGTCCCGAATTAGAGGAAGTAAAGGTTACATGAATTTCCTATACAAAGAAAGAGGAAGAATTGCAGGCAGTCAAAGAATTTTTTAAGGTATGTTAGGTTTTTATTAAATTATATAATGAATTTAATATTTGTGTGTGCTATTTATATAATGTTAATAAAAATAAAAATAAAAATAGAACCCTTTAGTCAAAGATTTTTACTTTGTAAGATTTGGAGATAGATATTATTGATATCATACAATAAGGAGAAGGTAAATATTGAGGTTTTATTTATATTAAGTAAATAATTAATAATGTAAATGCTCATTTGAGGTTTAAATTAACCACGAGTTCAAAGTTGATAAATTTGTGGGATTTGAAGAAGAGGTGAATCGACACATTCAAAGAACAATAAAGTAAAAATTTGTAAATTTTATACATTAATTATATAAATTAGTTTATATAAAGGTGACGTTAATTTCATATTAATAATTTTATGAATTATATTTAGTGATTTTAATTTATCAAAGAGTTGAATTAAAATACAATAGAGAGGTCGAAATTTGTTTATGCTAGGGGAAGTAAAGTGAAGGAATAAGTATTTCAAATGTAATTTAAAGCAGGTGAATAATTATTTATTACGTGTATTAAATTAAGGTTTTGATTAATGAGTAGCTAAATTATTGTTTTATATATATATAATCTGAGACATATTATGAATTAAAGAATTACTGAAATGAATGAACGAAAAATTAAAAAGGGAAAATAATGGTTTCATTGACCTTAAATGAAATTAACTAAAAGAAACGAAATGTAAAGGCTTATCTCAATCAGAATTACTCACGGATGGTACTAACAGGGGATGTGATGTATACGTGCATGATAAATAAAATAGTAAAGATGTACCTTCGGGTGCAATTTTTTTATTTTGGAGGTGTCTTCGAGTATGGTCTTCGAGTATGATGATGATGATGATGATGATATGACTTAAAAATGATAAAAAAGCGTAAGTACTTAAAATGAAATGGAAATGATTAAATTTAAAGTAAAAGCTTATGTTTGAATAAATAATAAACTACATTTCTTTTGGTCGTTCATGCACAACTGTAT